AAAAACAGCTTAAGATAAGAGTTGACAGACTACAAACTCAGTATTTAAAGCATACAGCTCCGTGTGTTAGTAGTTTCGCAGAATGGTGTAACCATCGCGCTGTCTAATTTCAGAGGATTTTCATCGCTCTAACCCCCATCTCTCCAGTCACTGACAACCACTAATCTACCTTCTGTCTCTGTCGTTTGCCTACTCAGGGCATTTCCTACCGTAGCACTATAGGAATTTGGCCTTCGTTGTTCAGTGCATTCACCTAGCATAATGTTTTCAAGGCTTGTCCACTATGTGGTATGAGCCATACTTCATTCCTTTTTTCTTATTTTTTATTTTTAATTTTTTTGGAGAGGTTTTTGCTATAGGGCGTGTGTGCTCACCAGAAAGACAGAGAGAGATACAGAGACAGAAAGCGAGAAATCACCCCCCAGGGGGGATGGCCACGCTGCAATCCCTTCTCCTCCATTCTCCTCTCAGGATCTTGGGCACGCACGCACACGCACCCGGTGTGAGTTTTAAGCCACCAGGTCCGGGACTCAAACCGTGGTCGGCTACATTGGGAGTCCAGCGACGTGGCCATTACGCTAACTGCTGGTCCCTTAAATTTATTTTTATTGTGGCAAAATATACATAAAATAGAATTTACTATTTTAACCACTTTACAGTGTGCAGTTGTATCATTAAGTGTGTCGCAGTGTACAGTCATCACCACTGCCTGGTTCTAGAACTTTTCACCATCTCAAATAAAAACCTCGTCCTATTAAACAGTCGGTCTCTATTCTCTCTTTAGTGGCTGGTTACCATCATTTTTTTCCTTTATTCATTACAGAGAATATGTGCATGCCTCTGAGGGTGAGAGAAACAGAGAGAGAGAGAGCCCTCTCCACAGGGCCTGGTTGTGCTGCAAACCCCTTCCTCCAGTCCTCTAGCACAATGGATCCTGGACTCTTATGCCCATTCCCAGTGTGTTTCAGGTGGGCCAGGCCAAGGATTCCAACCGCGGCTGCCATGTGAAATCCAGCTTGTCTTTTTTTTTTTTTTTTTAAGAGGTTTTTGCCTTAGGATATGTGAGCTCGCCAAAGAGAGAGAAACAGAGACAGTGAGAGGGAAAGTGAGAAATCACCCCCCCTCCCCGGGGGGGATGGCCACATCACAATCTCCTCTCCTCTATTCTCCTCCTAGGATCTTGGGCATGCACATACTCTCAGTGCGATTTTCTTTTTCTTTTTCTTTTTTTCCTTCTTCTTTTTTTTTTTTTTTTTTGTAGAGGTTTATGCTGTAGGGCGTGTGTGCTCACCAGAAAGACAGAGAGAGACAGAGACATAGAAAGTGAGAAATCACACACCACAATCCCTTCTCCCCTGTCCTCCTCTTGGGATCTTGGGCATGCATGCACATGCGCCCAGCATGAGTTTAAGCCACTGGGTCTGGGACTCAAACCATGGTCAACTACATGGGACATAGCCCTTATGCCAACTGCTTGTCCTGACTCTCAGCATGATTTTCAAGCCACTGGGTCCAGGACTTGAACTGTAGTTAGCCATGTGAAATTCCAGCGACATAACCATTACCCCATCTTCTGGTCAAAAAATCCAGCTTGTCTTGAACACCACGTCACTGCTGAGCTATGGGGCCAGTTCAGTATAATGTTTTTAAAGCTTATTCATAATGTAACATGTGTTAATATTTTATTCCTAGTTATGGCTGAATAATATTTAATCCCATGGATAATATCACATTTTGTTTATTCATTCTTCGGGTGATAGACACTTGGACTGTTTCCACTTTTTGTCTATTTTGAATAATGCCATTAAGAACATGGGTTAGCATCTTTTTTACATTACCACAGCCAAATGTGAGGTGTTTTTTTTTTTTTTTTTTTTTTAAGAATTATTTTTATTTAATTTTATTCCAGGTCTGGGACTCGAACCTCACAGTTGGCCACATGGGGTCTAGAGCCTTAACCTCCATGCCCCCTGCTGGCCCAGGTTATTTGTGTCTTTTTATTGTTGAGTTGTAGGAGTTCTTTATGTAGTTTGGATCTATGAATTGCTTTGACACATGAGGAAAACCTTTCACAGAAGCCACTGCAAGCTGGCTTGGCAAGAAGCGTGTCACATCCCAATGAATGAGACTTTCACAGGCCAAGGAAATGGGACGATCATGATTTTTGTTTTTGTTTTAAATGCCAGATAAGGAGAAAGAAAACACCCTCTAATAGGTCCTGGCCACGGTACAATACTTTTCCCTCCAGAATTCATCCCACCAGAATCCCATCCCATCAGAATCTCTGTGAGCACCCAAAGTGTGAGCTGCTGGGACTGAGACTCAAACCTTGGTTGGCCACGTGGGACTTGGCATCTTCTGCACAGTGCTTAACACTGTGTGGCAGGGCAGCCCATGATTGGTTGTGACTAACCACATGGGGTTGAAAATGGAGCCAGCGTCCACCCGAGCATATGGCTGAGCTTGATCTGGGGAGTGGTGTGCTGGCAACATTCTCTCTGCCTCGCTCTCCTCCTGCTTTAGCTGCCTGATCGCTTTTACCTCCTAATTCGCCTAAGGGCAAACATAACTTACCACTCCGAAAGCTAACGTTCCCCTTATGTCATGGTCTCTTATAGTAGCGTACAATATAGCATATTACGTACTTGAGACAAATGCATTCTCATTATTATTGTGTCATTGACTCCACTCCTTGCTAAATAATAGCACTGATTCTATCAAAGGTACACTCACATTCTTTCTTAGAGGTTTCCTCGTGAAGGACCGGGATATCTCCTCCGTGGGGGGTGGTAATTTTCTCTTAACGGGCAGGGTTAGGCCTTTAGAACAGTGCAATGTGTATCATCCGGGGATGAAGTAGGTGTGATTGTTTGAAACATTAACTTCAAAGCTTACACGGGTCAACACTGGGATAAATTGCCAAAGAAAGGGAAAAGAGGAACTAGCAGATGGCATAATGATTACACCGCTAGACTCCCATATAGCTGACCATGATTTCGACCTGGTGGCTTAGAACTCATGCCGGGCGCATGTGCATGCATGCCCAAAATGCTGAGAGGAGAATGGAGGAGAAGGGATTGTGGTGTGACCATCCCCCTTGGGGGAGTGATTTCTCACTTTCTGTCTCTCCAGTGAGCCTGTGTGCCCTATAACAAAAATCTCTCTATAAATAAATAAATTAAATAAAAAATAAACATCAGCGAGGGAAGAGGGTAGATAGTGAAACAGTAGAACACAACTAGACACACATGGGAAGGTCCTGGGTTCATGTCCCAGGGCTGTCCTGTATGTGCTGGGTATACAGATCTTCCCATAATCTGGGCTGATTGAGGCTAGGGGTGGATCATGGTATAAGGACCTTTTGGGAGTGATTATCTCTCTCAGAAAAGAGACTTTTAAAATTCATATTATTTTAGAGAGATTTTTGCTCTAGGGCATGTGTGCTCACTGGAGACACAGAGAGAGACAGAGAGAAAGAAAGCAAGAAGTCAGCCCACATGGGGAATGGCCACACCTCAATCCCTTCTTCTCCCTTCTCTTAGGATTTTGGGCATGCATGCACACACACTTGTTGTGAGTTTCAAGAGCCATCAGGTTCAGGACTCGAACCGTGGTTGGCCATGTGGGAGTCCAGGGCCTTAACAACTATGCCACCTGCTGGCCCCCAAAATTATTATTTTTAAAAATCTTACAGTCTCTGTGGATCAGGAATTTGTGAGAAGCCTACCTGGGTTCTGCTTCAGGGTCTTTCATGAGGTTGTGGTTGATGCGTGCTGAGTGGGGCTATCGTCATCTGAAGGCTAGAGGGCCTGCCACTCACGAGGCTGTTGGCAGGAGGCCTCAGTTTCTCACTAGCTAATGACAGGAGGTCTCAGGTCCTTGCCGAGTGGACCACTCCCTAGAGCTATTTGAGTGTCCTCATGATGGGGCTGGTAGCCTTCTCCAGAAGTGATCTGAACGAGAACAAGGAGAAAGAAATCCACATTGCTTTCTATAACTGAGAAGTCTCACACCACTGTCAGACCGTCACTTCTGCAACTTTCTACTCATTACAAATGAGTTTCTAAATCTATCCCTCATTCAAAGGAAGAGGAGCTAAGCTCTATTTTTTGAAGGGAGGAATCTAAAAAAAAAAAAAAAAGTGGACATATTTTAAAATCATCACACTCAGCACTCCTCAAAACTTCTTTGACTCAGCAGACTTTGAACTTTATTCCATTACTTGAACTATGTCGAGTCATTTCTGAAAGTTTTATTGAGGTGCTAGCAGGTGGCGTGGTGGTTAAGGTGGCTGGACTCCCACATGGCTGATGGTGGTTTGAGTCCTGGACCTGACAGCTTGCTTTCTCACATTCCTTCTCTCTCGCTGGTCAACTTCAAAAACATTTTAAAAATCCATATATAAAAATAATAACAATGAATAAAATTAAAACAAAAAAGAGAAATACTTACTGAGTGTATGATCTCAATCACTGCTTACTATTGTCACACCCAGAGTGAGACTAGGGAGGCATCATCTCAAGAGAAAAGGAAAGTTTACTGAGAGAAAGAGCACTGGGGGTTTGAAGCTGGAGAGGCCTCAACCCACCTGCTGGGAAGGAGGGGCTCCTTTTACAGGGTAATCCAGCTACGGGGAGAGTGTATGTGTGCGACATGCAGGGGAGTTTGGCCTAGTGGGAGAAGCACACGTGAGACATTTGGTGGGTTTGGATCCACCTCTAGTGAGCTAGACCTCCTGGTACTCGCTTTAGGTCTTTATCTGCCACTTCCTGGTCTGTGTGACCTTGGCAGCATCTGAGTATGGGCTCTTGCCAAGACCAGTTATGCAGAAGTTCCGCCTTGGTTCCTCATCAGGCCTGGAGCAAACCCAATGGTGCTCAGGAGAGGTTTACCGTCTGGGACCTTACAGCTGTTTCTCATGTATTACTGGAAACGATGCCACAGTAAAGGCCGTGTACAGAATTGCATCCTCCTAACTGTGGGCCTTCTTCCCTTCGCAGGTGCTGGTTGGGTTTCTTCTCATTCTAGCAGCCATAGAGCTGGCTTTTGTCCTCACAGAAGACCATGGACAGGAGACAATCCCTCCCGTTAGGTACACCAATCCAAGCCTCTACCTCGGCACGTGGGTAAGGCCCATCACCACTCCTGCCCTATTTGTCTTCCTTCTACCCTTGGGCTTCTAGCTGAAAGTTGCTCTTTGGGGGTGAAATCAAGTCCAGTTTCTCTCTTTTTCAAAGGATCTATATTGACACAAAATTTGTTGGAAACAAATTTGAACTTTTCATCTTCTTGAGAACACTAATGTTTTTAAAGAGTTATTTATTCAGTGTTATTTATAATCATGATGGACGTTTAATTTGCTACAGGGCAAGTGTGCTCACCAGAGGGAGATGGGGGGACGGGGAGGTGAGAAAGCAAGCCTCCAGGTGTAAGACTTGAACCGGGTCGATCACATGAGAGTCCAGTGCCTTAACCACCATGCCACCTGCTGGCCCTGAGAACACTGATTTATAGAGCCCTCTCCCTAGGCTGAGTATTAGCTTTAATGGCTAAGATGTGTAAGTGTATTTTTAAAAATTCAGGGTATTTCAAAATGGAATTAAAGTATAAATCTATTTTGGTATCAAAAAGTTTATGCCTAGTTTTTTCATAATAAGCATTTTCCCATGAACTTTCTGAAGACTCCTTGTATATCTGATGGCCTCGTATTTTTTTTTTCTTTTTTTGGAGAGGTTTTTGCTACAGGGTGCGTGTGCTCGCCAGAAAGACAGAGAGACAGAAAGACAGAAAGCAAGAAATCACCCCCAGGGGGGATGGTCACCCCGCAATCCCTTCTCCTCCATTCTCCTCTCGGGATCTTGGGCACGCACGCACACGCGCCCGGCTTGAGTTTAAGCCACCAGGTCTGGGACTCGAACTGCCGTCAACTACATGAAAGTCCAGCGACACAGCCATTACGCCAACTGCTGGTCCCACACCCTCATATCTTTTCACCTGAGGATCACAGATAAAAGTTATTTGATCTAAGAAAAATTTTTAAATACTGTAAATATTATTTTAAAATGGATTGGCTGGAAATGTGAATCAACAGGTCACAGAGTCAGAGTTGTTTGTTTAAACCTGATCTCAGACGCTATGTGTACCTTACAGGAACATTTTTGGGGAGGGCCTATTTAGTTTTAAAAAACAATCAAACTAGTTGCTACCATTTTAAAAGAAGCAGATGACACATTATTATTTCTATTTCCAGACTTTCTTGAACAATCAGGAGGTTTGGCAACGCCAGACCTATATTCACACAGGGCAGTGGTCAGCCGGGACAGAGTAGCAGGTGCCCCCGTTGGACCACGTGCTCACAACCCTTGGCCCTGCTGTCCCTCAGAAGCTTGACCTGCCTGGCCTTTAAACACATGAGTGCTTGCCGCACTTTTCCAGAGCGAGCAAGGAAGGGTCTGGAAGTGGTGCCTCGGGGCTGGCTCCCACAGAGCTCCTTGTTTAAATCTCTGCCCAACGCTGGGTGTGTTGACATCATATTGGAGCTTGAAATCCACCCTAGCTGGAGTATTTACACCTTGCAAATTTGCAAATGGTGGGGCCAGCAGGTGGCGTAGTGTTTAAGGCACCACATTACCACATGGCCAGCCATGGTTCGAGTCCCGGACCCAGACCCAGTGTCTTAGAAATCACTCTGGGCGCATGTGTGTGCATTTCCAAAATCTCAAGAGGAGAATGAAGGAGAAGGAGGTGTGGTGTGGCCACCCTTCTAGGGGGTGATTTCTCACTTTCCCTCCCTCTGCCTCTTTCTGGGAAGCACACGCACTTTACGGCAAAAACCTAAAAAAAAAAAAGTTGGCAAATGTTACAAATCATGGCATTTTTTCCCCCCTCCTAAAATGCTAGTTTACCAGCACAACGCTAGGTCTAGGAAACTATCTAAGTGAGATGATACAAGACAAAGGGTTTTTTAAATTGTAAAGTCTGATATTAGCAGATCAAGATGCAGACACCTTGTACTGCTCCTCAGAATTTGCCTCTCCGGTCAATGACTGTGGTGCCCCGGATAGTTCCTCTCAGTCTTCAAAAGGTTATTCTAGGGACCAGCAGTTAGCGTAATGGCTATGTCGCTGGACTCCCACGTGGCCGACCGCGGTTTGTGTTCTGGATGCGGGGGCTTAAAACCCACACCGGGCGCGTGTGCGTGCGTGCCCAAGATCCGGAGAGGAGAATGGAGGAGAAGGGATTGCGGCGTGGCCATCCCCCATGGGGGGTGATTTCTCACTTTCTGTCTCTCTGTCTCTCTCTGGCTGTCTGGCGA